CTGTGCCACAGCTCCGGCCGCTGCTGAAACTGATCAGGGGCTGACTACAGGAAGCCCTATGCAGAGTTGCTCTGCCCCGGGTTTCCTGGAATCAGCCGCTGATCAGTTTCAGCAGCAGCTGACTTGGGGATGCCTGGGGTTCTTAAGTTGAATCTGTATGTAAGACCTGCTCTGCCTCCGGCTTCCTGTAGTCAGCCGCTGGTCAGTTTCAGCAGTGGCTGAATCTGGACGCCAGTTCTGACTTACATACAGATTCAACTTAAGAACAAACCTACAGTCCCTATCTTGTACGTAACCCGGGGACTGCCTGTATATACAATTTTACTTGTGAGTTATTTGTCTGCTTGTCTTTTTAGATTTTAAACTCTTCAGAATGTGGTCTATCACTATATGTAGTTGTACAACACTTGCTACAGTGGAGTGAATTGGTCTTGATTGGGGTCTTTAAACACTACTATAATTAAATAATCATTAAAAAAGTGAAACTTCTGTAGGAAAGGAAGTCTTCATCTAAATAGACCATCATCTAATGATGAGGATATCTTGAGGGAGCTGAGGATGCATAGAGGAATGTCAGGAACTGTGGTGGATTAGCCACTGGACGAATGGGATCCAGGCTGGGGGCTCCAGAAAAAGTCTGTTGCTAAACAGCAGAAGCCCAACGCCGCAGCCCCCACACCCTGATCCCTCCCTGGCAGCAGCAGCACCAAACAGGGTGAAGTAAGCCCTCCGTGGGCTCTGGCCCCAGGCAGAAGTCATAGGGCAGCAGGGAAAGCCCTTGTGCCACACTACACTCTCTAGCAGAAGTGCAAAGTGGGAGAAGCCCCAGTGCCCTGACCATAGCCCCCTCAGAAGCTTGAGGTATGGCGGAGGAAGCCCGAGTATCTGGACCCTTGCTGTGACCAAAAACTGGAGGAGCTTAAGTTACTTGATGTGGCCGGGGCTGACAGATTTCTTATTTCCCGTTGTGAATCCCGGTAGGGGATAGAGCTTCTTTGGTTTTGGGGCCGCAGTGGAGGGGCAAAAAGGAGCAAACACATTTGGAGGACACAAGAGGGGCAGAATGGAGAGGCCCCTGGCTGGTACAGGAGAGGGGCAGAATTGAGCCCAGGGAAGGGGCAGAAAGGGGTGGGAAAGTAGGGAGGGCCTCCTGCAGAAGGAGTAGAGCAGGGACAGGCCCATAGGTGGAAGAAGTGTGGCACGTTTCCCTTCTCCACTTGCTCGAGCTTAAGGGACACCAGGAAACCTTAACCTCTGGTGAGGAAGTCTCAAGAGAGGTAGCTTGGATGAAGAGTTCAAAGTGGAGGTTCCTTTATGGGGATAACCAGCCAACATTGTAGCCTCCTGGCTCCTACTGCATTTTAAATTGCAAAGCCGCGGTGGGGTTTGGTCCCGGACTCAGTGCAACCCGGGACTGAGCTGTGCTGTCTTCCCAATCGAGCAATCAAACAGTTGATAAAAATTCTATCGACTACTCGATTAGTAAATTAACTACATTTTAATATCCCTGTTTTATTGTGGAAGTGCTTAACAGCCCCAATTGAGACTAAGAGCCCCACTTGGCCAGACACAACTAGCTGCAGGACAGTGCCTGGCCCAAAAGTTTACAGGCTAAGTTAGTATATTTAAATATACATTTGCTTTATTTAGAAACTGTTTGGCTTCAGAAACAGTTAGTCTACTTTAGTCACATTTTTGGAATTGTCTCATGGCTCAGCGCTAGCTCTCTGTACTTCAGAGAGGGAGAATCCAGTTAGGTTGCTGAGCTGGCATTTTGGCAAAAAGCCTTGCAACCTAGAGCTGTAGAATGATTTTGAGTAACTCAAAGTCCAGCTTGATGGTCTTCAGAAAAAGAGGCATTAATCAATCTAATTGATAAGCCCAGGGGGAAAGTGGCAGCCATTTGTGGGGAAAAGTTAAAGCAAAGAACATTTTAAGGAAAATCTAAATGCCCTATTGAAATTCTTGAGATAATGAAATCAGTGACAGAACTCCTGTTGATTTCAGTGAGGCTAGAATTCCAATCTGAAGTAATAAGGAGGACTTCTGGGTGGAATGTGAAGGAGTCAGGATGGAGCTTTTAAACATTTGAACTTTCCTATTATAATACATGCTGGCTCGCCCTTATGGAGCCTAAATTGTAATCCTTATTCATGCAGGTAATTCCTTTTACTTTCATTGGGCTACTTGCTTGTGACAATTCTCATGATTAAGAGTAGAAGGAGTGTGTGTCACACATAAATCTTAAAACATTCTAGTTTTAATAATCTCCACATCTACTTCAAAATAGTTCCATTTTGCTTACTTTTTCTTCAGCTTACATTAGACAGATATAAAGGAATAGCATGCAAGTTTATAGCTGGCAAAAGAAAACTTACATTGTTTGTTATCTTAATAGTGAGGTTTATTGGTATTTAATGTTCTTAGCACAAAACACAAAAGTATGTATGATATGTTCATAACACAAAAGTACACTCAAAATTAACATCTGATTATATATACTATATAAAAATCCATTATGACCCCCAATTTCCTATTTTCCTTTCACATGATATACTTTTTCTGACTTTTTTTTAACTGTTTTGTAGGCAGGTTATTAGATTCATTGCACAAAATGTTCAGGATCTTGTGTTCATCCTGCTAACATTCTCTTGTTGTGTTACAAAGTGTAATGTCTGCAAATTTGTCCTAGGAAAACCTTCCTATTACAAGAGACTATGATGTGAAAATACAAGTTAAAGCCTGTGCTCTGAGCTGGACAGATATAAAGGTATTTCTTTAACTTTTATAGGGGCTAGGAAAACATTTCTGTTTTTCGGTTTGAAAACTATAGGCCAGATACTCAGCTGATGAAGTGGTACTATGCTGATTTATACCAGCTGAGGATTTGACCATATTATTTTAATTCATTGTTATGTTTGAGCTGCATAAGGTATATAAAATAAATGATACCTGTATTTTTGAGGAGAGATCAACTTGTCAGTTCTGAATTGTATAGAGTAATAAAATCATCCTTTCTCTTCTGGGTGATGATTCTATACAGCTCTTGTTGGTCTGACAGCTATAACTGTATATTGCTAGGGCCTAATCAAATTATGTCAATGGAGGTTGATCACGCTCACAAACACTAATGATATAGCCTTAATGTGAAAAAATCTTACTAAAACCCAAATAGGAGCCTAAGTTAATTTGGGTTTTTTTATATACATGCTCTGTTGTTGTTGAGTGTGTCTGGTTAGATATCTGCACTTTTAGAAATGTTAACTAATTGAAATAGGAACAAACATATACAGTTCTTAATAAAAATTTCAATGAGTAATATAGTATTTTTATTTTAATAATGGTTGGATCAAGTACCAGATTATCATCTTTAAGAAAGATCGAGCACTTTACTCTCATTATGGCTGTTAATTTATGAGTGTAGACAATAATTAAGTCCTGCCAGGAAAGTTCTAACCATTAATATGATTTAGCTTTTATCAGAAATGAAGATAAAAAAGGAATATCTACCTGTTGGGAGAGAAATTGCTGGCGTGGTGCTGGAGGGTGAGTCTACTCATGTGAAATGTGATCATCTTTAAAGGAGACAAAAATAAAATGGATGTTAATTTAAGACTACTAAAAATTGCCTGACGTGTACAGACTTAGTGCCCAGAGCTAATCTTCACTTTGGCCATACATTATTTTTGCCAAACTATTAGTGCTGTAATATAGTAAAAATTAAAAATAATGATACTTAAAGGTAAAACCTGCAAATCAGTGCAAGGATAAATTTTGCATTCAAATTTAAGGTCTTTGCTGTAGATGTTGTAGATAACATTTTTAAAGGTGTTTGTTGCAATGACTAAGTCTGGGTCTATATGTAAGTTTTGTCAGTAGAGGTATTGGTCAAGAGTGTGATAAAACCACAGTGTGACTCACCTAGTTATGCTGATAAAATTCCTAGTGCAGAGGCAGCTATGTGTACTGAAGAGTCCTATGTGTACTGTTGCTGCTGCTAATGTTATTTGGAGAAGTGATGTTCCTACACTGACAGGAGTTTTTCTATTTGTATAGGCCAGGGGTGGGCAAAAGGGCTTCCGTGAGCCAGATTCAGCCCGCCAAGTGTGATGATAATTAGGGCCTGCGGACAGGGGAGTGCATAAAGCTTCCTCCCACTTTGAAGTGCAGCGTGCTGCTCACAGGGTGGAAGGAGACATCATGCGCTCCCCCGCCCCCAAGCCCTGATTGGCCTGGGGGCAGGAGGAGTGTGCAAAGTTTCCTCCGCCCTTCTCTCTGCCCTGTGAGGAGCACATGGCACTTCAAAGTGCTGTACGCTTGCGCAGGGCGAGAGCAGCTTCACATAGCTCCCAAGCCAATCAGGACTTGGGGGTGGGGGAGAGCGTGACGTCTCCTCCTGCCCTGCGAGCAGCGCTTGGCACTTTGAAGTGCCACGTGCTCCTCACAGGGCGGGAGTAGGGTGGAAGGAGGCTTTCCGCACTCCCCCCGCACCCAGGCCAATCAGGGATTGGGGGTAGTGGAGCTGCACAAAGCTTCCTTTGCCCTGTCCCGGCCCTGCGCGGAGTGCACGGCACTTCAGAGTTCCACTCACTCCTCACAGAGTGGGAGGTGGCTTCCCATGCTTCCCCCACCCCAAGGCCAATCAGGGTCTGGGGGCAGGGGTATGTGTGAAGCCTCTTCCCGCCCTACCAGGGGCATGGGTGCCTGATGGGAGGAGGGGCAGGCAAAGAGGCTTCCCCACCCTGAAACCAATTATGGTCTGGAGATGGGAAAACCCAGAAGCATTCTGGCCCACCCCTTCTGGATTAGGCCCCGGCCCACCCAGGGCCACTTCAAAAATTATTGCCTACCCCTGGTATAGGCTGTGTCTACGATAGAAAACTACTTAGCTTAGCTATGCTGGCATGTCCTTAGGCCTGTTATATACTTAATGGCTACATCTAGACTGGCCCCTAATTCCGGAATAGTCATGCAAAGCAGGTAAGTCAGAATAGGGAAATCTGCGGGGGATTTAAATATCCCCCGCGGGATTTAAATAAACATGTGCGCCGCTTTTTTTCCGGCTTGGGGAAAAGCCGGAAAAAAGCGTCTAGACTGGCGCGATCCTCCGGAATAAAGCCCTTTTCCTTGAAAGTAGGAATAAGAGATCCTCCGGAAAAGGGCTTTATTCCGGAGGATCGCGCCAGTCTAGACGCTTTTTTCCGGCTTTTCCCCAAGCCGGAAAAAAAGCGGCGCACATGTTTATTTAAATCCCGCGGAGGATATTTCCCTATTTTGACTTACCTGCTTTGCATGACTATTCCAAAAAAGCGGCGCACATGTTTATTTAAATCCCGCGGGGGATATTTAAATCCCCCTGCGGATTTCCCTATTCTGACTTACCTGCTTTGCATAACTATTCCGGAATTAGGGGCCAGTCTAGACATAGCCATCAGGTCAATATATCTGTGTTGGTCAGGCGTATGAAAAATTTGATGGGTAAATACTTCTGTCAGTCTAGCTACTGTCCTTTCTGGAGGAGTTGACAGTAATACCGGTTCTGTTAGTGTGGGCTGCATTTACACAACTGGGTTATGCCAGCATAGGTTCAGTGATGCTGGTACAGTCTAGGGATGTGAATGTGTACTTGTGTACATGGTTAACTGATAAGTCTGCTCATTGGTTAAACCACACAGTTACATGCACACACACCCCTTGCTGCCTCTGTATCAGAGGTGGGGGCAGGCGAGAGCTGGTACACATGGGAGCCAGCATCTGCAGAGCCACCTCCCATCCCCATCGTTGCTGCCTCTAATATAGGCCTGTGAGCACCAGCTTCCACCTGCTCCCCCTCCCCATGTGTAAAGTTTCAGCAGTTACATGTTTACAGAAATAAATGTTTAGCATCCCTAATGTAGTCATCATAATGTAAATATATGCTAAAGCTAAGACAAAACAATTTTCAGGAATTCAGGATATTTCACTTTTGCCCACTTTGATGTGATGTTTAACACCTTGGTCCTGCAAACATTTATTCTTGTGCTTATACACATTTTGTGGGGTTGGAGCCTAAGTTAAATAATGTTTATATCCTGAAAATGAAACCATCTGTATTTTTGCTTAACAGATAAAATATAACCTGCCCTGCCTGAACATATTTGTTTTTGTATGCTAGTGCTAGTATGTAGTTTTCTGTCAAATACACAGTTGTTTTTCATTCTCATTATTTCATGCTTTCCCCTTCTCTTGCATGTACTTTTTTTCTTAAGTTGGAAGCAAAGTTTCCTTCTTTCAGCCAGATGATGAAGTAGTGGGTAAGTTAAAGTTTGTGTTCTTTATTATAAATTTGTTTCTTGAAATAATTCTTAAATTGTTCTTAAGGTAATAATCAGTGCTATCGCTAAAAATAGACATGTTGGTTGTGTGTTTTGTTTTTACATGTAAGTTGCAACGTAATTGAAACATTTTTATTTTGACTATAATAAACTTTCTTAAACTGAGTCCAGTTTGAAGACTTTCTGCTCTGGAAATTGTCTGACTGAGACTAGAGGGGCCTGATCCTGGTATAGATTGTCCTAGTGCCATTGACTTTATTGGAGAGAGAACATTATACACCATCTGAAAATGCACCATCTGAAAGCACCAAAATCTGCTTTAAAATCACTTGCATCCTGTTCATCATTAGAAACAATGTAATGAATAACATTCCATGTGATATAGCTGCTGTAAATACTTTGTCTCATTAACCCAAATACAAAACTAATTTCAGACCACTGAAATTTCAGTACTTCTTCCGGCCATCCTGTTATAACTGAATGTATGAATAATAAGTACATGAATGCTGGATACTGCACCTACAGTACTTTTGTATTCATTTCATAGTTCAATTCCTTTATATTTTCTCTTCTTACCCAGCCTGCAGAAGAAGAAACAAATGTAACTTGGAGGGAACAGACACTACTGTGGACTTATTGTCAGTATGACAAGGGTTCTTCAATTTCACATAGCATTGAACAGCATTTGTCTTAAATCACTTATTTTAAAAAAATTGATTGATAAGTGATGAAATTTCAGCTCTCTCTCTCATATTATTTATAAAAATCTAGTTCTTGAAAATATGTGGTGAACTGTTAGGTATCAGAAATTTTACATTATGCGTCTCCTATATGTTTGAGAGTCTGTGTGTCAAGAACACTTCCTAAACTGTAATGCTGTGTCTATACTGTATCCCTTTTCCGTAAAAGGGATGCAAATTAGACATATTGCAATTGCAAATGAAGCGGGGATTTAAATCCCCCCCGCTTCATTAGCATAAAAATGGCTGCCGCTTTTTTCCGGCTTGGAGCTTTGCCGGAAAAAAGCGCCCGTCTAGACGTGGATCTTTCGGAAAATAAAGCCTTTTCTGAAAGATCCCTTATCCCTCTTAAAATGCAGTCTAGACACAGCCTAAGAGCTGGGACCACCAAATTGAATTTACAGCTTCCTATTAACATAACTAAAAGCAAGGTCAGGGGTTTGGTTATGCCAGGAAAATGGGATGTGCCTGTAATGGTATTGCTTCTCAGAAAACCATACAGAAAAGAGAATCACCGGGCAGGTGAAAGGCACTGGCTGAGAGTGAACCTCTCCTGTCCATGACTGCCCCAGTCCCGAGCCACTCACCCCTCAGGTGCCCTTTAAGAAGGGCCTGAAGTTCTCCCTGATTCATACAGGAACACTGCTGGCTGTTCCCCTTAGTCAGAGAGTGAAGAGAAATTGCAGTTTGTTGTAATCCTCATTGTAGCTGGGGAGCACAGGGGCAGAAGAACCTGGACCTGCCCTAGCCGGGGGACATGGACCCTTCCCCCAGCTCTGCCCACTGGAGCTGCAGTGGCCATGGAGAGGTGCTTCTCACCTGGCCCCAATATGCTGCAGTGTGAGGGCTGGAATAGACCGCTCTCCGCAGGGCAGCCTGCATACTGAACCCCTCATCCCCAGTCCCACCACAGAGTAATGATTCCAATGAAACATGTACATTTTCATTTTATTTTCCAAAAACAAAAATAAATTAAGGACCTGAACAATGCTGGATAAATCCTCTAGTACTGGAATATACATGAGCACTTTATTATTATCCAGTACAAAGAAATGCATACTTCATCACACAACACTAACCCTGCCTTGCACTGTCAATATATTACAGCAGTGGCTTTCAAATGTTCTTCATAGCTCCTACAAAAGAGCCCAAAAAATCATCACTTGCCCCAAATCTCCCAATCCTTGTATTTCCAGAAAAGCAGAAGAAATTGTTGTGCACAACTAAATAACAATAATTGCCAAAAACAAAATTGAAGGTACCTACCTAACTCACAAAGCAATTTTATTCTATGTTTCTGACTAAAATAAAAACTGTGGGAATTGCTAAGCAAAGTAGAAAATTATAAAAGCCTGATCT